ACAAAAAATGTAAAGAACAATTAGTCCCTAAGCTAAATCTATACATAAATGCATTAGGAGAGAGAATGGAAATGAGGGAGGAGTCATTACAAGCATATATTACAATCAACCCTCAGCAGCAGTAAAGGTCAACGGCTTATTGTCAGTTTTTCAGGATGTATAATGGGACAAGACAGGGTTGCCCGCTCTCGCCGTTGTTTGTTTTTAGCAACAATAAGGAATACCGTATTTTCTGGCATACAAGAGGACTGTTGATACTTAAAAATATACCCCAAAAATTGGGGGTCATCTTATACGCGGGGTATACAATGTGAACCTTCGGTTCATTTGGATCAAGTTTGCTTAAAATGATCGTCTCTAATCTGTCAGCCCGCTGGATGTGCGGTAATACTGTATGTACGGTAGCTTTGGCTACATACAGTATACAGTATACCACGCTGAGCCAAGCTGGCTTAAAACGAACGTCCCTACGGTAATCTGTCAGCCCACTGGATGTGCGGTAATACTGTATGTACAGTAGCTTCAGCTACATACAGTATACCGCGCTGGGTCAATCACGGTGAGCGATGTATTCTATTAATAAATACAAAGCCTGCTCAGATTGGCTGAGGTTGTGACATCATCAGCCCACCTTTCTGACTTTTCATTAATAGAATACATCTCTTGCCGTGATTGGCTCAGCGCGGTATACTGTATGTAGCCGAAGCTACCGTACATACAGTATTACCGCACATCCAGCGGGCTGATTACTGTAGGGACATACGTTTTGAGTCAGCTTGGCCCCTCGCGGTATACTGTATAACTGTGTACTGTATGTACAGTATTATCGCACATCCAGTGGGCTGACAGATTACCGTAGGGACATTCGTTTTGAGCCAACTTGCCTCAGCACGGTATACTGTATATTGTATGTACATTATTACTGCACATCCAGCGGGTTGACAGATTACAATAGTGACATTCGTTTTGATCCAGCTTGGCTCAGAGTGGTGTAGTGTATTTATACTGTATGTAGCCGAAGCTACCATACATAAAGTATTACCGCACATCAAGCGGGCTGACAGATTAGTGGGTGTACCGTATATTTAAACAAAATGGCTGGTAGACAACGTCCTATCATGGCTTCAGCAAGAAGGAAATATGAAACCAGTTTCAAACTGAAAGTTGTAAACTTTGCCAAGGAACATAATAATGGTGCTGCTGCAAGACAATATGCAGTAACAGAAAAGATAGTCCGAGACTGGAAAGCAAATGAAGATGCATTAAATAGTATGCCAAGGAGTAAGTGTGCATTAAGAAGAGGCACCCCATATTGGCCAGAACTCAAAAGTCATGTAGCAGACATGGTGCATGAGCATCGTCAAAATGATTATGTAGTGACACGAAACAAGATACATATGTTTGCACTTCAGTGGGTCAAATCTAACCCACATCACAGCAAAGGTTTGAGGCCACTGTATCCTGGTGTACTAGGTTCTTGGAAAGGCATAATCTGGTACTGAGGCAAAAGACCAAAATTGCACAAAAAATACCTGCAGATCTTGATGGCAAAGTAAGTAATTTCCATAGATATGTAATAAAACAGTGCAAGGAACATGGCTATGCGTTAAGTAATATTGTAAATATGGATGAAACTCCTATGAATTTCGATATGGTTGAAAATAAAACTGTCAATTCAAAATGTGCAAAAACAGTGTTAATTAAAACAACAGAACATGAAAAGTCCTGTTTTACAGTGGTACTAGCATGTACAGCTGAAGGCACCAAACTAAGATCAATGATTATTTTTAAAAGAAAAACAATGCCGAAAATCAAGTTCCCTGTTGGAGTTTTTGTACATGTGAATGAAAAAGGCTGAATGGATAAAGAAGGGGTAAAGCTATGGCTTGATAATGTACGGAGTAGGCGACCAGGTGGACTTTGTCGAGAACGTAGCCTACTGGTGTGGGATATGTTCAGGGCTCATTTAACTAACGGCACAAAGAGAAGGCTGTAAAGAATAAACACAGATGCGGCAGTTATTCCTGCAGGATCAACATCGTTGGTACAGCCACTGGATGTGTGCCTAAACAAGCCATTTAAAGATCGCATTCGAGAACAGTGGATCGAGTGGATGGTTAGTGGCAAAAAGTCATTCACAAAAGGAGGAAACATGCGTGCTCCACAATTGGATGTTTTCTGTAACTGTCATAAAAGCCTGGAATTATATTGATGCAGAGTCTTTCAAGAAGTCTTTCAAGAAGTGTGGCATATCAAATTCATTGGATGGTATGGAGGATGACTACTTATGAGGGGGAAGCTGAAGCCACACCATCTGATTTGGAATTAGATCCATATGATGACTGTTTTACAAATGTATCACAAGATGTCATTGATGAACTTATGACGTCAGAGGATGAACATGATGAGGATTTTGAAGGATTTTAAGTACCGGTAAGTCATAATCATTTTAATTAAAATTATTTAAATCAAACCTGATGTTTTTAAATGGTGTTGCCTTGTAAGGGGGGGTAGTCTTATAAGGCGACTATAGCCCAAAACCTATGTTTTAACTGGAAAATTAGGGAGTCGTCTTATACACCCAGTCACATTATACGCTGGCAAATACGTTAGTATAGATGTGAGGGGGATACAGATAGGGGAGACAGAACACAAAGTGGCAGCGTATACTGATGATATGCTATTCTATTTGGCTAATCCTAGGTTGACACTACCTAATTTGATGAAAATAATTAAATATTTTGGAGAGCTGTCAAACTAAAAACTTATCCAGTAAAATCAGAGATTTTAAATGCTAGTGTCTCGATAACTGAAAAGAAAGCCCTGTATGGAGAATTCCCCTTTCGATGGAGGGAAAGAGAACTAAAGTATCTAGGAATAAAATGGACTTTCTCCTTAAAGAATTTATATAAAATAAAATATATCCCACTAATAAATGAGATTAAGGAGGAATTGAGGAGATTATCGGTAGGACCTCTGTCATGGATAGGACGAATAAACTTGGTAAAAATGGTAATTGTTTCAAAAATATTATATAAATTCCATATGTTACCGATACAGCTCCCAGCAACCTATTTTATTGTAATTAAAAAAAAGTTACTGAGGTTTATTTGAAGGGAAAAAGACCAAGAATCAGTTATGAAGTATTATGTAGAGACAATGAGAAGGGGGGGGGGGGTTAAAGGTGCCTGATTTTAAGAGATATTATTACTCAGTATTAATGTCACGTATTTTTGATTGGACACAAAACGCACGAGGGAACAGTTGGGTGACCATACAAAACACTTTAAGTGGGACACAATTGAGTAAGATGGTGTGGTTGCCACACCAGTACCATAAGTTGGCAGAGAGCACGAGCGCTTATACATGAAATGTAATTAGGGTCTGGGACATAATTCATAAACAAATGGGGTGGGAGTTTAACTCTGTGTTGATGCCGTTGGTGGCCTCAGATTTTTTGCCGCCAGGGAAAGAGAATATTTCAGGTAAATGGATAAGAAAAGGGGATGCACAGTAATAGACATAATGAAGGGAGAAGAAATATTCTCCTTTCAGGAGCTAAAAAATAAGGAGTTGTTTGTAAAGGTAGATGAGTGGCAATATTTTCAATTAAGACACTTTGTCCCAACGCTCCTTAAGCCCCTAAGGACAGTGGCGGATTTTAACCCATTTAAACAATTGTTTAGTATAATTAGGGTACGGAAACATGGTACTTCTCGAATATACAAAATCCTTACTGTAAAAACAGAAATTACTCCCCCCGTATATGGTAAAATGGGAAAGAGAATTGGGAATAGCACTGGACGAGCAGCAGAGAAAGAAAATATTTAGATTGGCACATGGGGCTGTAGATATGAAAGTAGTGGAAATGAATTATAAATGTTTAGCTAGGTGGTACATCACACTGAGTGTGGCACATAAGCAACAAAAAGATAAATCACCCCTGTGTTGGAGGAGATGTGAGATTAAGGGCACAATGGCACATGGTGGGAGTGTCATAATTACAGAAATATTGGAGGGAAAAATTTTGCCAAATACAGGAGATCACCGAGGTTAATATCCTGAAAGACACATGTTTATTTCATAAAACAGAGACCACAGTAGAAAAATATAAAAATTCACTGATATTTCATTTTATAAATGCTGCAAAGGGACTTGTACCTAAATTTTGGCAGGAACAAGAAGTACTGAAAATAAAGAACTGGTTAAGTAGGGTGGATTATGTGTATAAGATGGTGGAACTCCACCATATGGAGGAGGATAAAATGGAGAGATTTCTAGAAAGGTGGAAAAAATGGGATGTGTATAGAAGATTAAATAATGGAAGAGACAGAGAAGGAGGAAATTGAGAAGGAAAAAGAGAGACATGCAAAAAAGAAAGAAGGAAAGGGAGTCCCGAGAGTATTGAAAAGGGAAGAGGAACAGGGAGCTAGGGGGAAAAGAACTTGAGGTAGATAGGGATATGGGCGGGTGGGGGAGGAGGGTTGGGAAAGGGGGGGGGGAGGGGAAATGTTTAAAGGAAATTGTTTTTGTATTTCAATGATATGATAATTTATTGATGTTAAGTTGAAATTAAAGAAAATTAATAAAATCTGAATAAAAAAAAAAAGAATGTGGTGTGTGGTGTGAACTATAAGTAAAAACGTATCCGGAATGCATCGTTTGCGTTTTTGTGGTGTGAACTGACCCTAAAAGATCGTGAAAAGGATAAAAGAATACGTGGTCAGGTATTAGTTAAAAAAAGTAAATATTAATCTTTTTCACGACAAAAGTTAAAAACAAAAAAGCTCTTCCACATGTTCCTTGCCATAGCAATAGCAGTGTAGTGAAGTGAATATCAGGGATTTGAGAAGGTAGGCTTTTAAAAGCATCTCATACTGATTGAGTCACTTATTCATTCACAGGAAACCATGTAACAAGAAACGGCATGTGATCTCACTGCTGAGCACTGAAAGATGCATGGTGGCATGTGAGCATGGAGTGCATTCTTATAATATTACCGGGTAGTAGAAGATCTGGAGGTTTAATCCGATTCTTTTTTCTCTTTCCCATTACAGCTGACTTGCGTTGGATAGTCTTGTTTATGTAATATTCCAGCTAAAGAGGAAATGGCAAAAAAAGTATATTGGTTATATTATATCTTCTAGGGTTTTCCATCCTCCTTCCAACTCACCACGTTTTAACTAGCAAAATTGTGCCCATTCCAAACAAGCCACATTTGTGGATATTACAAACCAGCTTGGAGGAATGTTTTATCTACAGAAGTGTCAATAAGAAGAAGAAACAATGTGTACAATTGTATAACAAAATTGGAATACCCATCTTCCAGCCATGTCTAAGAGGGCAAGATAGCTTCAGTATGGATACAGAAGTGTGGAACTGGCAGATAAGAAAATTGTATTCGATGGAGGAAAGTGACAGCGACTGAGGAGAAAGTCTAAATCAGTGAGTTTATTCATTTTGACAAATGAGGCATGTTTCTTTAGCTCTCAAGTGCATAGTGAGTAGGGCTCGAAATCTAGTTCATCTAATACGTAGCAGGTAGTTGTGGGATCTGCCAAAATGTTGGAAAACATCTCCAATTGAGCAATGTTAACCTTCATGGATATTACTTATTATTACTACTACTACTACTACTACAGGTACTTATAAAGCACCATCAATTTACTCCGCGCTTTACGTGTGTGTGTACATTGTGTATATATATATATATATATATATACACATACAGTATATACACACACAAATACATACACACACACACACATATATATATATATATATATATATATATATACACACATATTACATACACACACACACACACACACACACACACACACATATACATACACATATACACACAGTATCTCACAAAAGTGAGTCCACCCCTCACATTTTTGTAAATATTGTATTCCATCTTTTCATGTGACAACAATGAAGAAATGACACTTTGCTACAATGTTAAGTAGTGAGTGTACAGCTTGTATAACAGTGTAAATTTGCTGTCCCCTCACAACACAGCCAGTATAAGTGAAAATGTCCAAATTGGGCTCAAAGTGTCAATATTTTGTGTGGCCACCATTATTTTCCAGCACTGCCTTAACCCTCTTGGGCATGGAGTTCACCAGAACTTCACAGGTTGCCACTGGAGTCCTCTTCTACTCCTCCATGATGACATCATGTAGCTGGAAGATGTTAGAGACCTTGCGCTCCGCCACCTTCCATTTGAGGATGCCCCTCAGATTCTCAATAGGGTTTAGGTCTAGAGACATGCTTGGCCAGTCCATCACCTTTACCCTCAGCTTCTTTAGCAAGGCAGTCATCGTCTTGGAGATGTGTTTGAGTTCGTTATCATGTTGAAATACTGCCCTGTGGCCCAATCTCCGAAGGGAGGGGATCATGCTCTGCTTCAGTATGTCACAGTACATGTTGGCATTCATGGTTCCCTCAATGAACTGTAGCTCCCCAGTCCCGGCAGCACTCGTGCAGCCCCAGACCATGACACTCCCACCACCATGCTAGACTGTAGGCAAGACACACTTGTCTTTGTACTCTTTACCTGGTTGCCGCCACACAGATTTGACACCATCTGAACCAAATCAGTTTATCTTGGTCTTATCAGACCACAGTACATGGTTCCAGTAATCCATGTCCTTAGTCTGCTTGTCTTCAGCAAACTGTTTCTGGGCTTTAGAAGAGGCTTTCTTCTGGGACATCAGCCATGCAGACCAAATGTAATGTAGTGTGTGGGATATGGTCTGACAGGCTGACCCCCCCCCCCCCCCCTTCAACCTCTGTAGCAATGCTGGCAGCACTCATACGTCTATTTCCCAAAGACAACCTCTGGAAAGGACGCTGAGCACATGCACTCAACCTCTTTGGTCGACCATGGCGAGGCCTGTTCTGAGTGCACTCTGTCCTGTTAAACCACAATATGGTCTTGGACACCGTGCTGCAGCTCAGTTTCAGGGTCTTGGCAATCTTCTTATAGCCTAGGCCAACTTGATGTAGAGCAGCAATTCATTTTTTCAGATCCTCAGAGAGTTCTTTGCCATGAGGTGCCATGTTGAACTTCCAGTGACCAGTATGATAGAGTGAGAGCGATAACACAAAATTTAACACACCTGCTCCCCATTCACACCTGAGACCTTGTAACACTAAAGAGTTACATGACACTGGGGAGGGAAAATGGCTAATTGGGCCCAATTGAAGAAATTACACAATTTGGACATTTTCACTTAGGGGAGTACTCACTTTTGTTGCCAGTGGTTTAGACATTAATGGCTGTGTGTTGAGTTATTTTGAGGGGACAGCAAATTTACACTGTTATACAAGCTGTACACTCACTATGTTACATTGTAGCAAAGTGTCATTTCTTCAGTGTTGTCACATGACAAGATATAATAACATATTTACAAAAATGTGAGTGGTGTACTCACTTCTGTGAGATCCTGTATAGATATATATAGTACATTCACATCAGTTCCTAACTCTCAAGTAGCGTACAATATAAGATCCCTAACTCCCATTCATACATATCCATACTAGGGCCAATTTAGACAGGAACCATTTAACCTACCAGAATGTCTTTGCCTCCCAAAGAGGCAAGCCTGACTAGAGATGCCGGGGGGCTTTTCCCCCCCCCCCATTTGGTTATGGATCAACTGTTGCAGGTGTCATGCGTTGATTAGTCCTTTATGCATGTTTATTCTCCTTATATTGACATAGCCCAGGGCACAGACTGGGATGACTTCTCTATGCAGATGGGACATTTCATTATATATATGTGATATTGTTATGCTGAATACTCCTGCTGTACAGAGCAGACTCTTTTAGGCCCTATACTATTATGAACTGTATACTTATTTAAATGTGGACCATGCAGATATGTGCACTGTTTGTACTTGTTTATACTGTCAAGAAACAGCTGGTTGGTGTTTCTCTTTTCTCCAGTCATTGCAGGTTTAAAAATGAAAGAATAAATTGAATGGCTTCTATAAGCAATTATTTTATACCCATGTGTACCTCCTCAATGAATTGCCATCTGCAGCAGTTCGCAGAAGTACAGATGTAAAGAATAGACAGTGTGATTTCTCACCAAGTAGCACTTAGGCATAAAAATAGGATCTATCTTGTTATAAACAAGTCTCAATCAAAGGAGTCACATTGGGTATATTGCAAAGTGAAATCACAGTGATCTTTTCCTAGATGTACTGCTTTCTCTTCTCTTTAACACTTTTTTAAAAATAAAACTAAGAAAAATGAATGCCGTGTGCACTGACTTTGTGCATAATGGCTCACTAAATCACAAATTAGCCCTGCTCTCTATAATAAGCGTGCCTTTCAGAATAATGATTAAGCCAGAAGGCTTCTCTGGAAAACGTACATTATTTGGACACGGTGTGTAAGCAGATGTATAAAGAAAACAAGCCCTTTCTTCTATTAGACTTAGCATACAGCACTGCTGACAAGGGAAATGCTGTATATATGCTTGATTAGGATCTCCCAACTGAGAGCTCATTGTCTCAGAACAGACACCATCTTTTTAGTCTTGAACAGTGTTTTTTGCCAGATAGATAAGTAAATTCAAAACAGTCATCTTGATATTAGGCAGGCTATACAGTATGGGGGTGCCCTCAAGGTTGTCTATAGAACATGGATGTTCATCTTGTAAAGACAGAAAAAAGAGCTATTAGCAGACACATCCAATGCTGGTTTATAACAGGGGAAACAATTAGGGCCATTCCACCAAAAACAATCTTTATCTGTCATTCAGGTATGTGCAACATCTTTAGCTACCCATAGACATGAGATTTCCAGGGGACTTTGTTTTGTCACAGGGATGTCAGCATCACACTATGTGATATTAATGCGGACACTGGTGAAGTGTTGGTGAAAAGAGAATCGCGGTGGAGGTAAACATACACAGCTAAGTGTTCAGTTAACATTAGGAGATGGTTACTTTAAAGCATTGTGCACAAGGGGCATTAAAAAACTCTCCTAGAAGCCTTCCTCCTGGCAGCAGCATTTTTGCAGAAAAAAAATGCCTGACGCTTGTAAAAGTATCCAATGCTTTTCCAAGCATTTAGGCACATTTACCAAAAGTAAAAAAACACTAGTGTGCATGGAGCCTAAGAATGTGTGAGGGTGTCAGGGAGCTATTCAGAACAAACATGAGTGTGTGCGAAGACGAAGACAGCCGACCAAGAATGCGCATGTGCTGAGGAAAAGACCTGGCATAGTTGCCAGTACTATACATGGCCGTGCTTGTTTGCGCAGAAATGTGTGCATGCACACGAACTTTCGTGTTTGCACAAACAGTCGTACTGGTGCACGTTTACGCACACCTGTTGTCAGAACTGGCCCAAAAGGCCCTATAGATGGACAGTGGCTACACTTAGAGTTTTCTAAATAATCTTCAGCTATCAGAACTCCTTGCTCCTGTGTATCTTGTATTCTTTGGACCTCCTGTTAACGTCTTGGCTTGTCTGAATCTTCCTGCAGTCTGACTCCTGGTTTTGACTCTAGCTTGCTCTAAATAACTCTGCCTCTCCTGCCTTATTGTGTAGGACTCTGGCCTGCTACCTGACTACTCTTCTGCCTGCTCCACCTGTTTCCGGTGTATGATCTTGGCTATTGTTTGTGACCATGCTCCAGTCTTCTCCCTGGCTTGTCTCTCTGTGTATGACTTTGGCTTCCATCCTGATTACTTTTCCTCAGCCTAGCCCTGCCAGTCTGACCATGGTTCCAGCTCGGGTGTCATCTTGCCTGTGGCTACTGCTTTGGTCCTGCTGCATTACCAAGGGCAACAGTGGTCCTGCCATCAGTCCTGACAGACCAGCTGACAGCTATCCTGTGGACTCTCATGCAAGCAACCTCCAGCAGAGCTACTTAACAGGCACCCATGCTTCTTGGTGCCTTGCACTCCCTGTGCTCGACAACCACTTGCAAGGAAAGTCCTCTCGTCAAGTTGGTCTCAGACCAGGTACGTGACAGATGGGTTACTACTGGCTGTGGAGTAGGGAATTGTTATCTATGCCCCTAGCACTTAGCACAGAGACCCTGAGTGAGAAGACTATGTACCGGAGATTAAC